GCCATTACTACAAAAAGCTGTTGCACCTAACTAGGAGCTACAAAAGGAAGTAGCCCCTGAAAGTTGCTATGAACCATGAGAAAGCCCTGCCATTGGGACCCATGTCCACTACTGAGAGTGAACAATAACTGGAGTCATTATCACTGAGCACCACCACTAGGAAACCACAGATGAGACAGGAGAGACTTTACAGCCCTCTTCCCATCCCCTTTCCTAGAGAAGAGATGCAAATCCTCTTATCTGTTGAGAATTCAAGGGAAAGATAAATGTTGGCCTTTCAATATTCTCCATATTGAAAATAAAGAAGAATTTCCTGACAATAAATCAGGTACAGTTGGAGACTCAGAAACTCTCAATGTGGGCTTCGCTGGATAAAAAGATCTTGACCTTCAGACTTTCAATAATTATAATAATATTTATTGACCCTCCACTGAGTGCCAGCTACTGTTCTAAGTATTTTGTATTCATTCACTCAATCTAATAACCATGCAGTATATGACACTATTACACCCATTTTACTGATGAGAATAAGTTAAGCACACAAAAGCTAATTAACTTGCCCAAGGTCACATATTTATAAATTATGAACACAGCCGAAGTACAGAGCTATACTCTTATCTGCTTCTTATACTATGTGGTAGGCAGAAAATAATGGGCACCCAAAGAGAGCCACATCCAAATTCCCAGAACCTGTGACTGTTACGTTACAAGGCAAAAAGGACTTTGCAGATGATAGTAAATTAAAAACCTTGATATGGGGAGATTATTCTACATTATCCAGGTGGGCCCAATGTAATCATATGAGTCCTTAAGAACAAAGACCCTTTCCTGGCTGTGGTCCAGTGGGCATCTGACTATAGAGGAATATTCCGAAAGACCCACAATTGCTGATTTTGAAAATGGAAAATAAGAACAGGAACCATGAGCCAAGAAATGTGGACACTTGATAGAATTTGGAAAAGATGAGGAAACATGTTCTCCCCTAGATATTCCAGAAAATAATGCAGTCTTGCCAATACATTTGTTTTAGCCCAGTGAGACCTGTGTTGGATTTCTAACCTATAGAACTGTAAGATAATAAAATTGGGGTGTTTTAAGCCACTAAATTTGTTACAGCAGCAATAAAATACAAATGCACATCACCTCATTGAAAAAGAAGCTACTGTTTTCCTTTCTGGGGCAAGATGGTTTCACTATACTATTGAGTATATAGTATGTTTCACTAGTTTTGAATGTACTGCATGGTTTGTCCTGTATTTCGCATATTACAAATGTTACAAGAAACTGAACATATTTTAGATCTTGTTAGTAGAGCTATAAAATTGATCAGATGCTATGATTTGGACCTTTGATACATACAAGGGGGCTTCCTGCTGTTTGGAAGGTAGGTGATAGGTTTTCACCAAACAGTAGGAAGTTACTGTTCTAATTTTCAGACTACAAATAGTCTGATAATTCTTCACCAAATTCTGTCATAGGTATTTGAAATTATTCTGTCAAAGTATTCTTTTGAAGACTCAGAATAAAATGAATTTGTTGAAAGGGCGACACACAATGGGCTTTTTCAAAGCACTGTCAAGGTTTTCATAGTTCTCCTCAATATTCACCCCAACAAAGACCCCAAAATGGGCTCAGAGTTATTTGGTCTCTTTCAAAGCACACTGTGTATATACATAAATACAGTGAAAAATCAGAGCACTCGTCTTTCCAGGCAGTGTTTGGAAAACAGTCTACCTGCACAAGTCATGAATGCCACAGACAATTAGCACACCTAGCACTCATTGCTATGCATTTAAATTAACATGGCAGTATGCTGTGTGATACGATATACAGAGAAAAAAGAAAACTATACCAATGGGTAGTAGCAGTTTCTTAGTGGATGAAGGTTATCGATTGAAAAGAAATATTAAAGCTTTAGAAAACTGCAGTAAATATTTTGGAAGACTTGGAGACACCATAAGAGAAAGCTTCAAAACAAGTCTTCAGAACAGTGGTTGAATCCTGCAGAGCTTTGTGATGGATGAAATTAAACCTGCCACAGAGACTACATTTGTATTATTTCAGCAGTCTGGTTGTGGAGCATTGCTAGTTCCTCCCAGCGTTACAGATGTGATGGCAGTAATTCAGCTCCTATGGCCTGGATTCATAACAAACATCGTTAAACTATCCCTGCATAATGGGCTAAAGAAACACAATCAAAATTAAATAGGTAGCACAGACCTTGGCTGCTGGAATAAAGTAATAGTTAAAACAACTTTACCTCCAGCACCCAGAGATGTAGTGGTTGATTTGGAGCAATAGTGTCATTCTGCCTGTTGTACAGAGACCCCAACAGCACAGAGAGTGGCCACGAGCGGGGCTGATTGCACATACAGTCTCCTGGATTGATTAAGTATGAAAGTTATATGCTCAATGTGAAAAGGACTGTAGGGATCTTCTTTGTTTTCAGAACCAGTGCCATTCACTGGTCTGTTGGATTAATTACTGTGCCTTGTTTAACTGTCCTTTTCAAGCAACCAGTTTTCTTTTTCCTTCTAAATTGACCATTTGTACAATTGAATTGACCTAAGTAACTGTTTGCTCATTACTCCTAATAGTGCCATATTAACCTGAAAATAAAAATATATACATATTATTACTTTCTTAGTCATGTAAATAGTACATAATCCTTGTAGAGAATTTAGAAAACACAGATGAACAAAAAGAAATATATGTATTTATTATGTGTATATGTCTCTCTATATATATAAGTATAGGTATATATAATATCCCATTATTACCACTGTTAATGTTTAGGAATAAGTATATTTTTGCACAGTTCCTCCTACAAATATACATGTAAACATATTTCAGCAAAAATAGTATCATACCACACATAATGTTTTACAAACTGCTTGTTTCACTAAGCACTAGTGTACTTCTATATCTGCTATACAGGACTTCATTTTTAATGACCATACATTATTTATTGTATAGATTTACCATAATTTACTTAATCTCTTGTTATTAGATATGTAAGTGTATTTTGTAATTTTATTATTACAAATAATATGGTGAACATATTAGTAAACACATCTTGCATATTTGTTCAGTTATTTGCTTAAGATGCGTTCTAGAAGTTGAATTCATAGATTAAAAGTTATGCAGTTTTCTAGGAATTTTGTTGTTTCTCTGTAGTTTCACCTTTAAATGGGAAGGGAAAGAGATTAAAATCTTTGGAAAGACAAAAATCATTCAAAAGCCTTAAATGAATACATTTCACAAGGATCTGAAATGCTAAATGAAAACAGATATAGGAATATTTTAATTAGGGTCTGTTTGTTAAACCATTTACACACACACACACATTACAGGTTTAAGTGAGAGTCTTAAATGAAATGATTTTCTAAATACTAGGCAAAGACGTTAAAATATTGTCTTCTAGTTATAGTTCTTAAGAATTAAAAAAAGACAATAGCAGCTCTATTGAAATCTAATTCACATACCATAAAATTCACCTTTTGAAAATGTATAATTAAATGGTTTTTACTATATTCACAGAATTGTGCAACCATTACCACTATCTAATTTCCCAACATTTTTATTGCCTCGAAAAGAAATTCTGTACACATTGTCACTCGCCGTCCCCTGCCCCCCAGCCTCTGACAAACACTCATCTGCTTTCCTTTTCTATGTATTTGCCTATTCTTGATATTTCATATAAATTGTATCACATATGGCCTTTTGTGACCAGTTTCTTTCACTTAGCATAATGTTTCCAAGTTCATCCATGTTGTCAGTACGTCATTCCTTTCTATTGCCAAATAATATTGCACTGAATAGATGTACACCTTTTATTTATCCATTCATCAGTTCATTCTTCAGATCTTGTCACCGTCAAGCTTAAAATTCTTTAGTAGCTCCCCAAACTGATAAGCATGTCTATTGAAGGCCGGTCTTCACCAAGCCGCAACCTACTTTTTGGCCTGATCTCCCATGCTCTCACACCCATCGCTCGCACCCTCCAACCCCACTCCAGTGGTAATAGAACTACTTGCAGTTTCCTGAATGTAACAAGCATTTCACTATTGTGTGTGGTATCCTTGCTATCTGGAATACCCTTCCTCCCCTTATCTGTGTGCACGCCTTTCACTTGTCTTTTTATGATTCAGCTGCCAGGTATCTCCTCCTCTTAAAAATCCCAACACACTAAGGATAAGCTAGGTGCAACTTTTTTGATAACCTATTGTATTTCTATCATAACATTTATCATACTGTTTTGTAATTGGTGGTTTTCTTTACTTTTCCCTCATTGTCTTATGAGCTCATTGAAGCCAGAAACTATATTCTGTATGTCTCTATAACACCAGCAATCCAGGCTTAGCAAGTGGTAGACACTCAATAAATTTTGCTTTATATATATGATCAAAAATATAATTTGATTATTTTTATAAACTAAAGTAATTTAGGGGTTTTGTAATTATGTAAACATATGCTTTATATTTAAAATGCAATGTTGAAGTTTTCTTATGTTTACTTTGTTCGTATGCCTTTTATATTAAAATTCTCAGCAACATACAAAGTAATACTCATTAAAATAAACCAATACTTTTATGTAATTCTAGTAAGGTTATTTAAGTGCACATTGAATTTACAACCTATCAAATAGGAAACCTTTTCAATACAGAATAACTTAAGTCAATTTCAGAAGTTGTACAAAAGATGGTTAGTACCGTATTTCAAATGATTTAAGAAAGAAAGAATATGCCATGCAATTAATTTATAAATCATAGGTACACTTTAAAAACAAGATGAGCTGTTTTCTGCAAATAAAGAAAAAAAAATTTCTTAAATTTGACTTGGAGAGTGGTATATTGCTTACGAACTATAATAATCTTTGATGTTTACATGTATAAACTGTTTTTAATCTGTTTTACTGTATTCTATATGAATGAAAACAATTTTAAATAGGTCTAGTTCTTGATACTAGAATCCTAACCTCTGTTACTTCTGACTTATAGGGTATCTTTGTTACTAGGGTTCAGCCTGATGGACCAGCATCCAATCTGCTACAGCCTGGTGATAAGATCCTTCAGGTAAGACAGACAAAAAAACAGTGCATTCAAGTGCTAACATTGAAACAAATATCTAAGCATGTTATTAAGTTGATTGACTTGAATTAAATGACTCCAGTCATTAATTAAATAAGTCCTTCTTACATTGCTTACTTGACCTTGTTGTTTTGGGGTTGAGAGACAGGTCAGATACCAATACAGTCTGATAGAATCCTATACCCCCAGTACCTGACCCATGGTAGGTGTTCTGCACATTTTTCTTTAAATGAATGTTATTTGTTATGTAAGAAAAATTTATACATACAAGAATCTATGCATAGTTGCCACATGTGTGTAAGTGAAATGAAGTGCCCATATAGGATTATCTATGTGACTTTAGATGAGGGAGAAGGGACTGGTCCATATTTAACTTCTCAACAGTAAGCTTATTACTGTTTGAGTGCTGTGAAACACATGGTTGTACCTCTCTACTCTCCCTACTCAGATATGAACAAAAGTCTAGCTGCATGTAAGGTGACTCTTTAAAATGTGTTGTCTGATGGGAAAAGGCTCTAACTTAAAGTTCTGCGTATCAGAAAATGGTCACTCCAGTAAACAGTTAAGTAAATGCTTAGTATAGCCTCACACATTTTAATACTTATTGGCTGTTACTTTAAAGAACATTGGAAAAATGGGTTTATAAAACTGAGTTATCTGTCATTTAAAAGATCATTAGAATATATCATCACTGGAGCAAATTTATTTGCAAGCATTAATAATAATGAGCAACCTGGAAAATCAAGGTAAAAGGAAAAAACAATAAACAAATGAGCCCCCTAAGTGATCGCAGTTATCGGGCTTGATCTAACCCCACAGCAAACAAAACTTGATTTTGTGTGGCAAGACTTGTGTGGCAAGGAACAGTCGGAACTATGGAGATCTGGGTATAGAGGGAATAGAGAAAGGAGAGTTACCTCTTGATGAAGCAGAAGTTATTCCAGGCTTAACAGAGATGGGGATTAGTAAGAGAAGGTATACTGTGGGTGAGACTGGCATCAGTCTTCAGGAGCAGGGGTAAGAGGCTTATGCCAGGACTCATTAGTGTGGAGTAGAAAAGAGAGAGTACTGTGCAGGGAGATCCCAGGCATGAAGAAAGGAAACCCTTGGATTTTAAAGTTTCTCACAGAGTTGGAGAATTCAGACATGGAGATGGGTTGGAGTGGGGATGGGGTAGGGAGGAGATAGCGAGACATAGCTTTCAGGACCCAGAATGTGAGAAGTAAGTTTAGACTCGACAGTCTAAATGAAATGTCCATGGATGGCTGGATCTGTTATATATAGATATACAGTGCTATTATCTGTATACAACCACTGAAGCAAACCTTCCTTGTCTAAATGGAAGTTTTATACCTCTTTTAATGACCAGTGGTTGGTTTGGTTGGCCGCTAACAGTATTACCTTACTTAGCTAAAGCCTATTTATTCAACAACTTCAGCTATCAGGAATAAAAACAGAAACTAGAAAACAAACAAAATGTTTCTGAGAAGACAAAAGTAATGTCACAAAGTCCATACACTAAATTTCGCTCCTTTTGCTCTTAAGAGAGACTTTATTTCACACTTGGAGCCTCTTACCTAGTTTTCCAGACAACCAAGGGGAGATCCTCTGGGTTCAGGCACATTGCCCAAAGTAAGACATCATAGCTGACAGATTCACTGACCAGGAAGAGAGAGACACTTCTTTTTAAAGACAAAAACAAAATTCAAAAAGTATAGCACCCAAAATTGTACACCTGAAACCTGTGTAACTTGGCTAACAATTGTCACCCCAATAAACTTTAATTTTTAAAAAAAAGAGAGAAAGAAAGAAAGAAAAGTATAGCAGATTGGAGTCAGTATAAAATAGTGTTTCCCAGTGGCATCCCTTAGATACCTTTAAAACAAAACAAACAAAAAAATGCCTTAGTGACATAAGTTTCAGAGCCACCTGAGAACCTATGCCTTATTTCAACACATCACAGTGTACTAAGCATATTCAACACATCACAGTGTACTAAGCATATTAAGAACCTAAGAAATCTTAGAAACATATTTCCCAATGTATTTAACCATACAACCCTCTTTACAAACATCAATTAACCACTTCCACAAAACACACTTTGGGAAGTGTTTCTTATAGAAGCAACTAACTGGGCCCACGGCTTTATCCCAAAGAGTGTAATATGTTTGTAATTTTCTTTGTGAGTCATTAAGAATGGGTTAGTGTATGTTCATTTCTCTTATATAATTTTTTTTTATTTCTACGCCAAAAAGCTATAAATAGTAAAGACTAAAAATTTTTTATTATGGTTAAAATGAAGTGTGGGACCCTTCCAGAAATAAACTTTAGGTATTTGGAAATTTCACTAAAGCATTTCTCAACAAGGCCAAATAAAATAATGCTTTTCTATATTTGATCTTATTTGGTGGTTGAAAATTAACACCATGCAGCTTAGGGGAAAAGTGGGCAGGGGTGGGTGGGAGGGGTACAGTCATCATGTGACTTAGTGTTGAGAGTAATTATTGCTTAAAATGATATAATACATTTAGGAAATAGAATTTTTAAAAATACAGTTTGATTAAAAGACAACTGAAAATACATTTAAATAATGTATATGATTTTATATGCCATATTTTTATTCATTTCACTTTGCTCATGATATAAAAAGTTCAGCACAGATTACTAATAAAAGACAGAAATATGGTACTTTTTGCAAATCAAAAAAAATATTGTAAGTATGAAGTAAAACATTAATTAAGCATCTATAGTGTCTCATTTATACCACACAACAAACCAAGATTCTTGACAGAGGTAACATATTTGAGCTTCTTTCATTTACAATGTTGATGTTACTGGAGCAAATTTTATTGATAGCATCCTATTCATCACATTTTCTATTTATTTATTTATTTAGAAACTATACATTAAATGCCCACTATGTACAGCGTATAGTGCCAAGGAATGTGAACAATGGACTAGGAAATGTAACAAAGTTCCTGCCTTGACACAGCCTGGTCCAAAAAATAGACAAGCCCAAAATTACACAGAGCAGAAAATGAAGAGGGAGAGGCAGGAAAGAGCTGACCATCAAACAATTAAATGAACTCCTACTCTGTCTTCTTTTATGACCAAGCTCTTCACCAAACCAGAGACCAATCTGTCTACAAAGAGTCCCCTGAAAATGAGAGGTTGCTTTTGCAGCTATTCTTTTTGTGGCAAAAGTAAAAGGAATAAAGTGTAGCTTGTCAGGATACTACTTTGCAAACCAAGGTAAGGAACTCATTTGTTAGGGATATCCGTTCAACATGTTTGCTAAGAAGAAAACAGGCATTCTAAAATCAGAATAGATAAATAAGCAAATATCTTCAGGGTTACTATTTATGGTTCTACACCTTCATTTCTATACAAATAATTCAGTCTTCAGTTGAGTCTGTTCTATCTTGCCATGTCTTTTTTGAGCCTGAATTTGTGGAACATTTAAGCTGCAGTACATGTGTGCACCTAAGACAAAAGAAAAATACTTATGTATGTTTCGTTCTACAAAGATATTTTTAATACTACAATAAAAGCCATTAAGACTTCAAACTCTCTCCCAATTCAAAAGTGCAATATTAATTTTTCGTGTGAACTCTCTAAGAATTTAATGCTATAGTTCAGATTTTTAATAAAAAGGAAATGACTTGGCATTTTAAATCAGTGTAGTATTGATTATGCAGTATATTCAGCCCTAAATATATCCCAACATTTAATGAGAGCACTCTATGAGATTAAAATCCTGAAAAGGGAATTAATTCCAGTTACTGTGAAACATAATTATAATTATCTGAGATTCCCACTGTTTCTGATAATGTCTGTCTGTCAGGATTAGACAACATGAAAGCTTGTCCTTCAAACTCTAATTTGGTTGCTGCATTTTTTTTTCCCTCATCCGAAGAACTATTCAAACGCAAGTAATTAATGTAATTAATGTACTAATATATATCTAATGTACAAAATACATGTGCACTGACCCTTTAAATGTTTGTCCTTTGAGGGTGAGTTTAAAACAAACATCTCATGACCGTATTTCTAATCCCATTGCTTTTTTGGATTCTAAAAAAAATGATGCTGTCATTGGATAATCTCACCCACACTGTGGCCAAGCCTTCCCAGAGACCAGTTTTTAAGCTTAGAGCTTTGAATAATCAGGATACCACAGAATTCCTAGGAGAATTACAGCATCATCTGGAGAATATCTGCAGTATAAACATCCATAATTTATTCACTTAACAAAACATTTACCAGAAAGAAATCAAAGATAAATCCAGGAAGGACCAAGGGATGAAACCCAGAAACTAAGTGTTTTTTACAGTAAACGGATGAGCTGTCATTGCAAAGCTCTACTTTTTGTTGGAATTACAAGTATTTTTTCATGTCTAAACCATGAGAAAGGACAATTAAAAAATATTTTGTGGCAAAGATGTCAAGTAGAATTAAAATAAGGAAGGATATCTTTTAAAAATGAAAAAGATGATACTGAAATATTCCTTTATGCTTTCAAATTAGCTAAAGCCAGAAACCCATTAATTACATGTTCTTGAAGGATAACATTTTCAGAATATCTTTTTCTTTCCTGGATTGTTTTCTTATTATCTTCATTTTGACTTAATAACCATTCATTTATTTCTCATTTTTCATTACTAACAATTTCCTCAAAATTGCACACATTATATTGTAATCCATGATGAACTATCTATTTATATAAAACACATACATAATCAAATGTGGCAATATATTTTAAAATTTCTTTAGTTTAACATGTATTCTTAAAATCATTTTATGCCTTTATACAATGCATAGCTTCAAAATATCAAGTGCATTAGTATATATTATAAGTATTTATTTTTCAAAGTATCATGGTATTTATGCTCCATAATCAATATTGTCTAGTACCAGCCTTTATTTCCTCAGGTCTTCTATTAAGACACAGAATACAATCACACACAAAACAAATCACCTTACTTAGTGGAATATTGTGATTTTTCTGGTCTTCATTTTCATTGGAAAAGCCCTACACAAAGTTAGTAAACATAATTTTCTGATTGCTTGTCTGAACTGCTCAAAATGTAAGCCAGATAGCCATATTCATTCTAACAAAATCATATACATTCTCCTTGCTCTTCTGTCCTAAGAATGAAAGAAGTTTCTCTAGAACTGAGGTTCTAGCTTCTCCTTCCACTCAAAACCTTCTAACTCCTCTCCTGGCATATGGCCTCATATACTGTTCCATATAAAGAAATAGCAGAATTAATTTTTAAAAATGAATTCATTAAATGAACCTAAAGCATTTGTTACAACCTCACAACACCCGATGAAACAAGTCGTGTCAATGTATAGAGAGTTGACCACTATGACATAAATTCCCACCTAAGCCACTCATGTGCGAGCTTGGGTCATTTCATGGAATCTCTCTGATCCTTACATTCTCATCTTTTAAAAAGTTAGGTTTAGCTAAACAAGAAACACAAGTTCCTTCCTCTAACATTTTCTCCTTCTATTCTTGTGGCTTAGTGAAAATTATATTTCTGAAATTCAAGAAATTAATAGTGAAGTAATATTAACTGTAAGAGCAACCATTTGTTGATTGATTATTTATAGTGTGTCGGGCCCTATCCTATGCACTTGACATATATTAATTCATTTAATATTTAATAAACTTTCTAAAATGTCATGCTTTCTGGTCATTCACATTCCTTCTGTTAATTTGAAGCTATTCCCAGGTGGACCCTTATTGTGGTCTTTTAAATAGGCTTCTTGAGGTTCACCAAAACTCTGGTTTAGATCTTAAACATTCTGGGCGGCTAGAATTACAGATAGAGTCCTGATGTTTGACTCATTGATCTAATTTATCAATCCACTTATTTCCTTCTGGGAAACCAGCTCTATGTTTGTGTTTCCAACTATACAATCTTCATTTGTACTTACAAAGCATAAAAATGAAAAGCAGGCGCTTTAAAGGTCTATGAAAAGCTAAGTTATACGTGGGGTCTCCCTAGCCTTGAATCAGAACCTGGGCTGTGGTTCTGAACATCTTGAAGTCTGGTTTATTGGAAACAGACCCAGATTCGAGGCCAAAATCAATCTGGCTCAGCTTTTTTCCACGCTCTTTCCTCTGTGCTACAAAAAATTAGGGTGAATCGGGCCCACTAGAAAATGCTTGATTCTCTTGGATTTCCCACCACCTTTATGAACATTCTACCTTGACCCCCTTTCAGGATGACTCTTCTCAGCTCTCCTCCTGCCTGGGTCTCTTAGGAAACCAGGTTTCCTATTTTTTCCCCACAATGCATTGGTTCCCGTGAGAATTCCAATTCTTTACTGTGGACATCAGGCTAGAGCCAGCTTTCTGCCATCCTTTGGCAGGAAGGATTTATGCCTATTTCACTTTTCTGTCCCTCACTTCAGACAGATGTTCCTACATACCCAGGTCAACAGCAAACACTCTTTCAGTTCTGCTCTACACGTCCAAAGCTGCATGCAACCCCAACCTGCTCCCTTAGTTAGATTTCCTTCCATTCACATATGCTCCCTTTTAAACTTATTTTTGGATAAATCTCTCAGCTTTGCATGTGCTTAGCAAGAAGCTGCAGTAAAACCTACCCTCTGTTGCTAATGCCACCACTATGACCTCCTCCCTGAGCTCAGATCTCCTGTTTCCAAACCTGTGTTTAGCATTCCTATTTCCTGCATCACCAGCATCCGTTGTCTCCCCTGCGAAGCTTGCTGTTCCTCCAAGGTTTCCATTTTCTGTTTAGGGTGTCACAATTCTCTTCTTGTTTGTTTCTTCTTCCCTTGTTCAATTAGGTGCCAAATTTAAGAGATTTCACCCTAAAACTTTTCTCCTTTTTAATCTATGCCCTCTCAAGGCTCCTGGCACTGCCTTAGCAGACAGTCTGCCTTAGTCTTTCTACTTTTTCTACTTTTTTTTAATTTAATTTTTTCTTAATCTCAGCCAAAAGACCGAGAAGCAATTTTTGAGAAGGCTCACAAACGGCTACAAGTCTATTTAGCCAGAGTCAAAATTATAAGAATAAGTGCCAGCAGAGTGGCTCAGTTGGTTAAGAGCTCGCTCAAGAGTGTGAGCTCTTAGCAACAGCAGTTCAAGTCCTGGCCCAGGCTGAGCTGCCGCTGAGCTGCCAACAGGTGGCAGGATGGCTCAGCTAAAAAAAATAAAATAAAATTATAAGAATGAGAGATTCAGCACTTCTATAGATCATCACACAGGACTGCATGTTATTCCTACTTGTATTTTTGGAGCAAATTAAATTAAATCTGATAGGAATCTGAATGAAAATTAAGGCTTTGCATCCACTGGTCTCTGGACAAAATCCCTCCTCCAACTCTCACCTCTCTCTCTCTCTCTCTCTCTCCAGAAAAGTTCTGTTTAAATGTTTTACATATTGGGCTATCTCTCTTCCTTATGAAGAAAAGGATCTATGAGCTAATCCTACCACCTATGAAGCCCTATCACATTAGTTTATTTTTATGGTTGCTAAAGCCTAGGGTCTAAATTCATAAGTATTTTTATTTTAAAATTCTCCCAAAAAATGATTACATACGTGAATCATCTTAAAACTCTTTTCCCTGAATGGACTGTTGCAGAATTTACCTGAAATAGCCAACTGTTCACATGTCCAGGGTTTGAAGGACACACCAGGCTTTAGACAAGACAGGGAGTTATGGTCTTTTGCTAATCACACTTGCCAGGTGTGAGTACCCAGAAACTCCTTTGTTAAATGCCTCAGAGAAATGTCTTCTTTGGAAATTTTCCCTCTTCTCTTCCGTCTATTCCAGAGGGATGGATTTCTTAGCTATATGGGATTTAGAACCACTAGTGTAGATAATGAATATACTTGCATTTAGCAATGCAGGAAATAAAAATGATCTCTTTAATATAAAAATGTATAAACTAAGAACTTTTCAGTGAGTCAAAATAAGATTTAATTATACCATGACTGTCCAGTCATCTTTTGCATGGCTGAACTTTTGACCGTGCTGATGGGTTTATATCAGTGATTATATAACAAGAAAGCAATGGTTCTATGACAACTTCAGAGCCATCTCAGCAACTAAGTCCCTGCAAAAACAAAACAAATCAGAACAACAATACTGAGCTGCATCTATCTGTTATTCACCTATGTGTCCATCTAAATAGTACAGTGGTTAAGACTACACTAGGACAGTCGTAGGTAGGACATTCTAGGCACTTGATAAATATTTGTTGGAGTAATAAATTGAGTTGAAGCTGGGTGAAATTAATTGTTTCCATATTTGCGATTCTATTGTGAATTTTTTAAACTGATAAATTTTGGTTGCTCAATGCTCCCTTGAATCTGATGATTAGAACTGATAGAGTGTGGCCGGCCAAGTGGCTCAGTTGGTTAAGAGCTCGCTCAAGAGTGTGAGCTCTGAGCAACAGGGTCGCCAGTTCAATTCCTGGCCTGAGCTGAGCTGCCGCTGAGCTGCCAACAGGTGGCAGGATGGCTCAGCTAAAAAATAAATAAATAAAATAAAAGAAGCTGATAAAGTGATAAGTAAGTGTCTTGTACTGATCGCCTCGTTTCGTTTGTGTGTTTACAGGCAAACGGACATAGTTTTGTACATATGGAACATGAAAAAGCTGTATTACTACTGAAGAGTTTCCAGAACACAGTAGACCTAGTTATTCAACGTGAGCTTACTGTCTAAATATTTTTTATAAATAGTGAAGATACGTCTAGCCAGACCTAATGTTCAAAAATAAATTTATACATAGAAACACATTTTGCCAATTGCTGGACCAATGGCAAACATTAGTGCCAAATGTATACTACTATATGTTAGCACTGATCATCCTTCAAAATGTTAACTATATAAATATGATGTTCACGTGGTTATGTATTAGTTTTAATTGTCAGCCTTTGGCTGTGCATTGGTGCAGTTTTGGTTTTGTTCTTTTTTTTTTTTTAAACCAAATAAGTTTCTTCTCAAAGTGGATTTCATATAATTTCGGAGCACGGAAGCATACATAAGCTCTTTATGAATTCTGCTCTCCATCAAAGACACTGCCTCAAAGTTGTATATGCCTTTATATAGAAAATGCAAATATAAAGAATTATAATTCCCATAAACTATTTCTAGCACAAGGTATATGTTGGCATATATACAAAAAGAATATAGAGCAAAACAATATTTTCATAAACTAAACATCTCGGATTGAGAAAGAAAATATATCTTAAAATAAGACTTTACTATATTGAATCTTTTTCAATAAAAATTACATGATAATGCCTTATGAAAGTAACTGTACATATGGTATAAAGTGTTTTTATTTGGTTCCATATTCATTTGCTAAATTCTCATAACACAGAGTGAAATATTTCATAAATTAGCCATTTATCTCTGGGACCTGAATAAAAAAAAATGGTACAAACCAATTTATTGAATGCCTTTAGCTAATTACAATACATGTAGAGTTAAAACACAGACTAAAGGTCATTGCAGATAAATCTTTTTCACCACAAATTTAAGCAGTGAATGATGGGTGGCAGGAAATGTACTGCTTTATTTCATTCAAGTTTATATTGATTATAAACTGTAGCCCCTGTGATTTCTTTACTTGTAAATGTGGAATTTATTTGTGTGTGCTTTATCTAATTTGCTACTTTTAAACAATTTAAAATGAGTTTGGGGGATTGATAAAATTTATCATTAAGAAAGATTGTTGTTAGAAAGTTATGGTGGGAGATTTAAAAACTTTGGTATTTAAATATGAAACTTCAAATATAATTTCTCAGAGCTATAGTCTAACCTGTATTATTAATTTCAGTGCCTGCTTTTGTAGGCAGAAATAAGAAAATACTTTTTTTCCAAAAAAGATTCAAAGTATGTAAAATCCTGGATTTTGTGTCACTGGAAAGACAAACATAGTTAACCCAGAATTAGTTATTTTTACATAGGAACTGTTTTCCTCTATAAATGACCAATTCATTTTATAATCCTTTGAAATATTTATTTTATATGTTAGTCATTAATTTTATTAAAATATTAATTTGAAATTCCAGAATTTCCCAGAGTTGGTTGTTTGAATTCTCTCTCATATTTCCACATAGCTCTTTAAAAATACATATGTAAGAAATTTACTTTACATGCTAGTATTTTAAGTATTCTATTAGAATTTTCACAGTAGTATCACATATTGATGTCACCAAAGCTCTGAGAATAATATTTGTAAGTTAATTGTTTTATGGGGACATTGAAAATATTGTATTTTTGTAGGGTCTATTAAAATGAATGTCACTTATTAGAAGTACAGTGGTATTTTTTGGTAGTAGAATTTGTCACTTGAAGACAAATGATACTTCACTTTATAGATGATGCACTAATTTTGATGTTGCTTTATGTCAGGGTGACATACCATGATTTTATAGAGTTTGACATTTAAGAAATAATTAAATGATTGGCCTATTTAATATGTTTCCCAGAAGTAACTTTTAAATGCATTTTAATATATTTACAGTTTCTGATGAGAAATGATTTTCAGAGCCTAATTTTCTTTATCAAAAACCTGCACCAAACCACCATATCCAGCTGCTATTATAGGATGATCATCATTAATCAAGATGGAGGCCCTCACTGGCCTCACAAGATCACTTAAAGGAAAAGCAAATTTATGGGTGTAGTTTAGTGGCAATGAAGCATCTGAAGTCAGCCCATCAGTTCTGTTTAATCTTTTACAGGAGAAGTGGGAGAAGAGCCAGATATAGGGCTTCCCAAGATTTTTCTCTTATGTCAGGCTTCCACATCAACTCCTAGTAAAGGCCTCTGCCACTCCTGAGGTGACAACATTATTATGGCAAATGCGTTAACCTTTCCTATCCTGCAGTTCAGAAAAAGGGATCCCTGACCAGCTGAAAAAAGAAATCTGATGTGCCAAAGCACCTCATTGTCAATTATACTGCCATGCTGCACACTGGGAAAAGGCAGGTAATAAGGAAAAGATGCTTTTTTTTTTTTTAAGTTGACTGAAAAAAAAAATCACTAAACACTTCAGGGGCAAAAAAAATCTGATTGATTCCATAGGTGACCAAACCAATAATACATTGATTTTTGAGTATTGACTTTTTTGGAGTAACGGGTTTTGCTGTCAGGAATAAGAAACTGGTGTATGCTAACAAAAACAAAACAGAACAAAAAGCAAAACAAAGCAAAAAAAGTTAAGGTGAGCCTTTTAAAAAAGAAAAACTCAACAACAACAAAAAGTGGAACTCATGATGGTTCCAAGAGACTACCTCTTGGTGTTTAATTTTTATAGGACTCTTCTTGCTGAGGGAGTTGTCTATATCTGATGGATCAGTAAGACAATGGAGGGGAATGAGAAAAATTAGAGGTGAAAAGAACAAGCACTGAAAATTATTAGTAAAACTGCTGCTGCAGGTTTTATACACCAAACAGGCCTCAGTGGACAATTTTTAAAACCATTTACATGGCTTATAATATGCTGTCACAAAGCTCTCTTACCATAATTTCAGCCTTCCAGACAACACCAGTCACCTAAACAAAATTAATAATTTCAAAATATAAATGTACTTTTGACAAAAAATAATCAAAGTCGGTATGACTAGAAATATTTACATCATGCTAATTTATTGCTCATTGAAACCTATAAAATAGATGTTTTAATTAGAATAGAAATTACATAGACATCAAATTACATAGACCTTGGATTACCACCTTTAAGATGGAAAGCAGTGTTAAAGAGAGGGTGACAAATCAGCATTAATTTGTTTTTAATCTTGAAAATGATCACACACATATCACTAATATAATTGCTTGTTTCAAGTAGGACTGAAATATATTATTTTACCGGGAGAGCTAAAGACAGAATATTAAGAGGAAGGAAAACATTGAAGAAATCAGATGTATATGCTCAAATATTAAGTGAAAAGTATCTGAATTTGCCAAAATGATTAGAAGATGGAAGTCAGAAAAACATTTTACTTTTAACCATAAAAATCTATTTAATATCTCCACCACAATTTAAAGCTTTGGAAAAATAGTGTGTTTGCCAATTTGTCTTTTCATTGGCTTTTAATGCTGTTCTCAATCAATTTTCTGCCCCTCATTGATACACAGATCAAGAATGTCTATTCTGGTGAACAGTCTCATCATGAGGCCACAATATGGCATCACTAGATAAAAAGCCACATTGGTAGAGAACTACCATGCTAAGTCTTTGGTGAATTCAATCAGACAACATGTTTGACTGATTCCTGATATACTGACCAAGCAGCAGGTTTATTGAAACACTGGGTCAGGAAAAAGTTATGCAAATAATGCAATCCCATAAGTTAAGAAGATGTGTCCTTCATCTAGAATCAAGAACAGCCGGATTGGGGGTGTCCAGTAAAGTTCCTCTCACAGAAATGCTAGATCTCTCTGAGGCTTAATAAAATGTTCAAACACCGGGTTGGTGATGTCCCTCTCTTATGGTTGTAGTTATCTGATGATCTAGGAGGTTGGAGGGAAATCTTCAGACTCAAGATCACTTGCATGAACTTTTCTCCTTATCAATACACCTTCCATTAGGAGAAGCATCCGCCTTGGCCCAGAATATATCTCCATCATTCAGCAAGACCATCCCCAAGTATACATGATAGCAAGAAAATAGAATGTGGGCTGTGGGGAAATAGATGTGTCCTGTAGAAAGCATGTGGATTAACTTTATAGGAGATCCTGGGTGGCCGCTGTCCTGTACATCCTGTCAGCTCTATATAATCTAAACTATTCAGAGAATGTATTTTCTGAAACACCCCCACTATGCAAAACTAAGGCAGATGCAGTCAAGTTTTCTAGTTATATCCTGAACCTTCTGTGAGTATTTCTGTTTCTAGCGTGTAAAACTCACCTCTCCTCATTGCTGCTGTTGCTGCTGTAGATCCATCCCCGTGATGGTCCAGAGGCAGTGGATGGCTGCTTCTATCCTGCTGACACAAGGATAAGAGGCCCCCTTAGAGCTCTAACTGTCCAGAGACCTTGAGTATCACCTGATGGTCCCAGCTTCCAATTTGGGAGAAACTTTTTTGGGTGATGAAGGAACCTGGAGTAATAGCATTTACCAAGGATCAAAGGCAGAGTGCTTATCGTGTCTCTGACAACAGCCACGCTTGTGTATAAGGGTGTGGGTGGCAATGCCTTAACAGAACTTTGTTTCCATATCTGTTTTTAATATGTTGAATTTTAGCATATCAAGAACCTTCTCTGAGCCTCCTAGCTGGTTGTTATTGGGATGGGTTCCAATCTTCCTCCCCTTTGACACTGTTTGCAAAAGAATGGTTTGGAAATATTCTCTTATGAGGGTATAAATTTTACAACTTCTACTTTGGAGAACTAACAGATTTCTGATAAATGGAGGGAAAAGTCTATTCCAAGATTCTTTAAAGAATAAATGAAAATTTAGGAATATTGAATCCCCTGGGCTTTTAACTCTGTGATTATCATAATCTTCCCTGAGAGCAGTTCTATGGGAAGTAAAGAAAGAAGAATTGAGGAGGGGAATAATTCGCTGGATCCAACTTTAGAAGCATTATTCATCTGCTAGCTTCCATAGTTGGATTCTGCTCTAAGACCATCATCTCATGGCTGTGTGTAAGGCAGGCGCAGATGAGAAGGGCTGTCTTCAGCTGCACCAATACTTCCCCCAAATTATCTTGGGCTGCAAAATACCTTTTTTTTTTTTTTTGCTTGATTTAGTTCATGGCAACACTTCAAATAGTGGAAGGTTGTGAAATGCAGTCAGTGTTTATGTAGGAAACACTGAAATTCTGTGATCCTTATAAGTCTGGAGTTGGAACCAGTGTAGGCCTGATCCAAAGAAAAAGCCATGGACCAAATTTCCACAGGTATGATTGTCAAACCTAGCATACTTTTTTTTCTCCTCTAAAAAAAAAAAAAAAGCAGAAAAACCCTTTTATTTCCATTCTTTAAGCTAGCATAATTTTCAATGTATGTAGAAATGAGTTTTGAGGAAAAAATTAAATGAATCATACAAGCTTTCTCTAGTTTTGAAAGTACATATATTTTTTCTTAAAACTATCACTGTTGTATAATTCTATTATTTGTGCCAGTGTTTTTTCCTTCTTTAAAATAACGTGATGAGTAAGCAGCCTACAAATAATCAGGCATCTCTATACCTAAAGTAAAATATCTTAGTACAGAGACTATTATTTTCATCAGCAAGCTGCATATTTGCTCAACAGGAAAACAGTCACTGTAACTGAATCTCAGATGCCTAAGGTATGTCATTCATAAATTCAAAACATTTGGGGACATTTTATTGAAGAATGTAACACAAACATTAAATGCAAAGCTTATCAATATTTGTTGAGCATCAACTATATGCCAGGCACTTCAAGGGATATAGCATGGTCTCCTCTGCACAGAATCTCACAATCAAGTGGAAAGATGAGAGAACTTCCAAATCAAAGACAGTACGAGGCAATGTGGTGAGTCCCTTTGTCCCTGCCTTCAACTTGTGTATTGCAAAAGGCAGCAGCATCCTTAATCAAATCTCTTTTGGGTTTGAGCATGGTTGTTCCGTTTGGAGCTACAAGTAGGTCTCCCCGCTGGGTCCTATGGCCTCTGGGAGGCCATTATGAATGTGAGCCGGGATTTAGGGCAATATTTGATAAGCTAGTGGATACCTTATTGGTAAAGATAAATAGCAACCAGAATCCCGTGAATCTTTGGAAGACAATTTTGCCACTTTGTCTGTTCTAAAGAAAAGAGAGACTGTAATGAAAGATGATGTCCGTGGACCTGGCCCAGCACCGTGTCTTTATGCCCCTGACATGTTGGGGAAAAGAGATGGAAGTCAGTACTTTAAAAGGCATGAGGTGTTTGATTGAAGAGATCCTTCTATGTGGAGTGTCCCCAAAGAGTCCCTTCTATGACCATTGCCTTTTGTAGAGTATCAGGAAGCATGGGAGTCCATAGGATCCAATATCAGAATGATCCATTCAGAAATGTGATAAGTTGAATAGTGAATGACTATTCACCTGAATGAGGTGACTGCATTTCATGTTTGTTTAACTTCCATCAGTAGGGTGAAGAACAATTTTCACTGCCTACTGCTCAGCCCATCCCATGAAAATACGTTTGCATGAGGCTGGTCACACACACCCCCATATCATAACCATTTATTTATTCTTCTAAGGAAAGCCTGATCCTCTAAATCTAGCAATTGCTTGTTTTTATTTTCTTAACCCTATACATAGTCAGTGTGTTAGATTTCTAGGAAACCTTACCTTCCCCTGAGCACTCCCTGTGCTTTTTGACCTCAGCCTTTACCCACACAGGGCCCTTGCTGGAATGTCTTCCTCCCCCCATTCCTTTTCTAAATTATCAAAATTATATGCAGCCTTCCGGGTACAACTCAAAGATCACCACCACCATGAAAATTTCCCTAATT